AACTATCCATGTCATGTGAGGATTCAGCGGTAGTTGCTAAGACCGAGGCGGGGACGCGCTTAGTACATGGACACTACGTTGTTCCTCTCCCTTGGCGAGACGGTAGCGAAGTTCTATCTAGTAACAGGGTCATGGCCGAAAAAAGACTAGCGTACCTTAAATGTCGTCTACTGCGAGATGGCGGACTTTTCTCCGAATACACACAGTCAATAAACTCGATGCTGGATAAGGATTATGCGGTTAGAGCTCCGGCGAAGACCGGACCTCGGTGCTGGTACCTACCTCATCACACGATAGTTAACCCAAGAAACCGGAGAAACTTAGAGTGGTTTTGGATTGTGCGGCGAAATTTCGAGGTCTGTCCCTAAATGACCAACTCTGCCAGGGCCCCGACGTCACTGCGAACCTGACCAAAGTACTTACTCGGTTTCGGAAGAATTTAGTGGCGTTAGCAGCAGACGTGGAAGAAATGTACATGCAGATAAAGGTGCCGGAGGACGACCAAAGAGCACTGCGGTTTCTGTTGTGGCCAAAAGGCGACCTGTCTAGTGAACCTGTCGACTACCAGATGACCGCCCACCCATTCGGGGCGACGTCCTCGCCGTTTTGTGCCACTTATGCCCTTCGCAAGACGGTGATTTCGGTCATTTATACAACGCTACGGTAACGAATGCAGTCACCAATGGTTTCTACGTAGATGACTGCCTGGTATCATTGAGTTCAGTAGAGGAAGCAGCGCAGTTTGCCCACGAAATATGTGATCTGCTAGCCAAAGGGGGATTCAGGCTGCGGAAATGGATCTCGAATAAGACGAAGGCCCTAGATTTGATATCCCCTACCCAGTGGGCACGAGCGCCTAAAGAACTCGTTGTTGGCTCACACTGCAATGATCGTACGCTTGGGCTCGAATGGAACGCTGAGACAGATCAATTTTGGTTCCGATTCAGCGTTCACAACTGCCTGGCAACCCGACGGAGCATCCTGTCAACCATATCATCGATGTTCGATCCCCTCGGATTAGTGTGTCCTTTGCTTCTACCAGCCAAGGTGCTTCTACAGAAATTGTGTAGAAGAGGACTGGGTTGGGATGACCCTCTCCAGCCATCAGACGAGCAAGAGTGGAAGCAATGGATTAATCACACTTTGTCTATTGGCCAACTCTCTTTTCCTCGTTGTGTGCTGCGGAGCATAGAGACCTCTGAGCAACGCGCACAGCTGCACATTTTCAGCGATGCCTCTGAAATTGGGTATGGTGTGGTCGCATATTTGCGGCACACCTCTGCGTTGGGTCAGCCTTATTGCTCTCTCTTGCTTGCAAAATCCAGAGTTGCTCCATTGAAGGCAACATCTATACCCCGGTTAGAACTTGGAGCGGCAGTGTTGGCAGCGAAAGTTAATCAAAGTGGCAAGCTTACCTCTTCCGAGTCGTAGGCGAACAGTCATCAGTCGCGCGCTGATGCCCGTTGGTTCACCCGCCAGCTGGCCATGGAGGAGATCGGATATTGCAAACCCGACCCCATGTTCACGTGGTGCTGAGGCGGCGTTGCCCACCCAGTAGAATGTATAGCCAGCACCTGCTTCATGCAACTTACCTAGCTCAGCGAGCCGGGTTTCACTGAGCGCCGCAATATCGATGTTGTAGCAGGCCAGCTCCATCGCGACCAGTGCAGTGCGTCGCTCCGGCCGCTCGCTGGAGTTCCGGTCCAGTAGTGTGTGCACGTTCCAGCACCCGATGCTGAGTGCTTTGCGCGCAGGCATACGATTGCGTTGGTGGGCAATCGCGCGCGAGGTGGTCGTTGTGCTTCGAAGGTTTGCTTGAGGGACTCCACCCGGACAGCAAACTTTGTGATAGATATACCAGCTCGGGTTGTGATGGAGATTACACGGGGTACAAGAAACAGCGTAACTTATGTAACTCCGCAAAGATCAAGAAACGCCGGCAGTTCGGAGAGGAGCTAGCAGCCTCAGCCACAACTGCACCCAAAAGAATATTTGCCTACTTGAAACGTCAACTGAAACCTGGGGGCAACCTACCGATCTTAGAGAGCTTGGATGGACAGACGATCATTTCAAGTGCGGAGCACGCAGACACCTTGGCTACGCACTTCCTCACCGTATTTTCCAGTAAACCGGCGGCTGTTCCAGTACCGCCACAGGTTGTGCCAGTCTTGCTGGACAGCATACAATGTGATGCAGTCGAAGTGTATCAGCTACTCGTCAACCTTGATGGTGCAAAGCCCCCCGGACCGGACGAACTTCACCCACTAATACTTAAGTCCCTTTTGATTATCATCTCACCAATCGTGACAAACCTATTCAACAAATCACTCCCTGAAGGATCTGTCCCGAACGACTGGAAATGCTCGATAGTGAGACCGCTTCTCAAGGATGGTGATCCGATCTGTTTGACTTCGATATTATCCAAAGTTCTCGGGAAGGTTGTGAAAAAGTGTCTGCTGTTGTTCTTCGCATCGATGAAAGTATTGACGCCAGTTCAACGCGGCTTTACGAATGGGCGATCCTGCATCACCAACTTGATGTACGCAAACCACCAGTGGGTACGAGTTCTCAATGAACAGAAGGATGTTGACGTGGTATACATCGACTTTAATAAGGCGTTTGATAGAGTGAACCACGAGATACTCCTTCGTAAACTGAGGACATACGTAATCGGTGGCACGTTACTTCGGTGATTAAACGAGTTTATTGTGGGACGAACTTTTAGCGTACAGGTTAATGACCACCTGACCGACTGGTTCCCATCGACTAGTAGCATGCCTCAAGCGACTGTACTTGGGCCAGTATTATTTCTTATTCATATCAACGATCTTCCGCAGCAGCTTCAGTCACCATGTGCCCTGTTTGTAGATGATTTGAAAATCTGGAGGATCATTGAGAGCCAGGATGACTGCACTCGCCTCCAACATGACTTAGAGCGACTGTCAACGTGGTCCACAGAAATGCAACTCCCTCTTAACGCAAGCAAGTCGGAGTTCATCAGTATCACCAGACGTCCAGTCACTCGATCATACACCTTGGATGGCCAGTTGTTCCACCCTAACACATCTGTCAGAGACTTAGGAGTTCTCTCGCGACATGATATGAGATCACTAGAAAACACAGAGAAATTGTACCTTGCGGGACTTTATATGCTCTGGGCGTTAAGACACAGTTTCTCCACTTGGTCCGAAGGAACCGTCCCTCGTCTATTCACGTCACTCATTGGACTAATCCTTGAATACGGTGCCCCAGCTTGCTATCCGATAACCCAGTGGGAAACTGAAAACCTGGAAAAAATGCAGCATATCGCAACTAGAGAATGATAGCGAGTCTACAAAGCTTCCGTAAGAAAAACCTTGTGAAAGCTCGGACTCTACACAGTATCCTACCGCCGAGTGAGTATTGACCTTATTATGACCCATCGAGTACTACACTTGAATCACTTCCCTATACTGCGGCCAATATTTCACTTGCGGAAACTCTGTAACACCCAAGGATAGCGTTACAAACTCAGGGTCCCCTGCATGAACAAGGTATAATATCAGCTTTGTATCGAACGAAGAATCGTAAACTTATGGTACACACTACCAGAATGATTGATAGAGGCCGATTCTGTGAAGTGTTTTAAAACACGTACCGAGGATTATTTCGGAAACCTGTGCTTTTGTGAAACGATGCACATACAATGCCAAAAGAACACATCATATGCCCGGAAATACGAACAAGGATAAATGATTAACTGACCAGACACAACCGCTGACGACTCAAGTAAATGTTTTTGATTTTTCATAATTCGATAGACTTGTTCAGAAACCTTTCTACTTGCTCTTACATACAGTCTCAGTCTCTACCGTGTATATTAGTGTATGGTTATTTTCCAGATGGGTCCCATGACATTGAAGGAATTTTGTTTTTTTTTACTATCATCGAGTAATCCTATACTGTCATAACATGACTAATGACTTAGCAGCAAATATTGCCTATGAAATGCACTCATGTTGCCAAAGGAAATACTAAATTTTGGGATGATTCGGACCTGGTTACACACTATGACCACGTCCATACATTCGTTAAATAGCAAATGTATTCTTTGACTGCCAAGCATAGCGCAAATGGATTTCTCAATCGCTTAACTTGCATGAGACCTAATTCTCCACATCAGCTACCTGGGCTCCACGAGCTCACATTTTTCGCACTTCGATCCACATACCTCTGAATTTAGGTACCCGAATCGAATGTCAAATCCAGCGGGTGTAAAGGCACACATTTCCTTCTTCTATCATTCATCCGATAGCCACAAAGCTGCAATTCAATTATCTCGCCCTCCATCTACTGTCGCTTTTTATTTCGTGTGATTGCCTCCATTTATTTGCTGTCCCAACCTGTTGCATATGTGCTCTGGAATTCACGTCAAACTGTTGATGGAAATTCTGCTCTCGGGTTTCAAATTAGGCGGTCCTTAGATCGCCACTGAAACGTTTCAGTGCAACAGATCGCTCATAATGCAATCTAAGCCTAATTAGAGTGATGTTTTGAGGCGGCTTACTATGTAGGCAAGACGCCCTCCACGTGAGGAGCTCTGGAAAAACCGGACAGCACTATTCAAGTTTACCATGTTGGAGGCACATGTCTTTGAGCCCATGTACCTAGTCTCATTTGCCAATGAATTGCTTTATTCTGTTGATGCAGAAAGTGCATCTGTTTCCTTGACTAATCTGATTTACAGCTTCTTTACGATATCCTAGCATATTCGTTAGGTTTTTCTGAACCCTTTGTCATTAGTTTTAGTAACACTACTGGGACTGGGTTCACGTCGGCCGTTTGACAATTTATCTGACATAGTGCAATCATGTAGCGAGTTGTAATTTTACATTCTTTTTCTCGCTCCCCCGTCTTATTTCAACTATTCTAGCCATGTTCCCCTTTATTTTCTAGTTCCCTTCCTGATGGCTGCTTGCAACTTTGACTGCGTTTCCGACCTAATAAACATCCGTCTTTAGATTCCTCCCCTCCTCTCTCAGGTAGCGATTACGCTCCATCTGCCTGTCGACCCGAAATCTACCCCTATGGACAGCTCTTTGGGCGATCTGAGTAAGTTGTTTCTTTTTTGGACTTTTGAATGTGTTTGCGAAAGTGCGGTCCATCAGTGGATGTGTACTAGTACCCAACAACCCTTGTTTACAACAATGGAATTAACGCTTGTGTCATTTGCAAGCTTAGGAACAACTGCGTCATTCCCTATAAGTCGACTGTTTACGCGGTCGCTTTACTAATCATGCCCGATGGCGAGCCGGTTTGCATTTAGCGTCCACTTGGTCGGGGAATATGATCTTATTTCACAATTCGGTTGTTTATGGGCGCTACACAATCCTCTTCGTTGTCTCCATAGTCAAAGCTTCTCCATCAACCTTGTGAGTTGAGGCCAAAAATCTCATGATTCCAATGAATATCCTCTCTCACTTTTGATGCTAACTATTCTCTCTCATGCAACATGGTCCTATTTGAACGGTATAAGTCACTAAACAGCTTTTCCTCTCTGCTGTTAGCACCAGTAATTTTTATTTTGAGGAGCCTGCTCTGAGCTTAGGTGAACTTTTCGAGATATCTATTCAACACTAAGGTTCACCAAGAAGAAACTAACGTAATATTTGAGGCACTAATTTCGGCACTGCAGAATTAAGTTCGGCTGTGTTAATGGCTTTCGGACAAACCCTGTTCTCACTGCATCTGACCCACACTGCTTTTCCACTCTGCCTCAAAGGGATTGCTAGATCCACCTGATTACCACTCAGTCGGCACTATGTACGCTGCACTCTCATCTCTCTATGTAACATTTTCTCATTCTGGGTTATCCAATGACCCACTCATTTTTGCATCTACAAGCCGCATTTACCCGCCGCAGCGAGACTAGACCTTAACGTGGTGCAACGATTTGCATACCTCATTGACTCATTGCGCTATACTGGGTGCTGCCTCCTGGCCCCTTGAGAGCTACTCCTACCAGGTTGGTCAATGCTTATAGGTCAGACAAACTCAGTTTCCTGTTCCTCCAGGTGGGGGTTTAAAATGGAATGACGTCCATTTCTGTAATGTTAAATCAGCGCCACCTCTCCGCTGCCTTGCGGACACGCTTTCGAGCCAAAGGCTTTGGATGAGAACCCTAATCGTCCTCTTATCTAGATCTGGGCAGTATCTCAGCTCATATACAACCAAGCTCTAACTACATCCCGCATCGCCTGTCGTGCAGAATATCAAGTGTCTCTTTATCTGCTGCAGGGCGGATAAACAAAACATGCTACTGCTGAAACCTCCCTTCTCTACCTTTTTCTCTTACTCCCATCCCGCCACCCATTACTAATCATTCTCCTATGTGCCACTGAAATAGAACAATCTTCAGCTGCCTTCCCACAACACCCACTGGACGCTTATCATCCACGGTCCCTTATAAAGCCATGCTTTTCCCTTTCCCTGGCGGCGTTCAACGTTCGCACTCTAACACAAATCGGTCAACTGGCTGCATTCGCATGCACCTTGGACACATTGGGTATTGACGTGTGTTGTTTGTCCGAAGCTATTGGTTGCACTCATCCGCAGACGCTGATGCAGCACTCACAGGTCAATAAGGTAGGTATCGTTCTCGGCTGCAAGGCTAAGTCGTCGTTTGACTGGATTCCGATGGACAGCCCTTTGCAGCCCGTTTGATGACATAAACTAAGGTTGATTCACGAAGTAGTACCAAATGTTGTTTCTTTTGTTTTCAGTTTACGCTTCCACTGCCTACAGTTCTGATGCTGCCAAGGACGCCTTTTACCACGGACTAAATGCGGTACTACGCAGCACTACCAGGTCAGATCTAATAATACTTGCAGGCGATATGAACGCACAAGTAGGGCGTCTGAGTTCTTCAGAAGCTCAGCTAGTTGGTACTTATCGGCTTAACTCCGAACCGACTGACTACGTTTAGCGTCAGCTGCAGCTGTGTGCGGAGCACCCATTGTTTCTTACTAGCATTGCTTTCAGACACCGTGGGCGGCGAAGTGCCACTTGGCGTCGTTCTTAGCTGGTCAGCCATGGACCCAAATTGACCACATTGCCATAAGTTACAGGTGGCGTGGTTCCATCTTGGATTGCCGATCGTATTGTAGTACCTGTGTCGACTCTGATCATGTCTTGGTACGCTGTGATTTATCTATGAACTTTACCGAGGGGCGCACCATGCGTTTTCTCCGATTGGCAACTGTGAAATGGTCTCAGCCTTCAATCAGGTAAGCTTATCAAGACTCACTGCGTACCAAACTTTCGCTGTCTTGTCCTAATGACACTGAGCTTCAATGGAATAGGATCTCGGCCGCCATGTACGACGTAGGAACATCTTCTTGTGGCACTCAATCGTCACCGCACCATTCACTGGATATCCAAGAGGTCGGTGAACCTGTTGGAATCTAGAACAAACCTAACGGGTTCTGAGCACAATGTGACCAGACGGGCTGTTAGGCGCGAACTGAAGCGGATCCTACTTGTTGACAAGGAAGCCTGGTGGACCACTCGGGCTCAAGAAATGTAGGAGGCAGGAGCAGTAGGCAATTACCGCAAGCTCTTTCAGCTGATCCGCACCACTGGTCCCAGAAAACCAGGCGTCAGTGAGACAATCAGAGACAGCGCGGGTACACTGCTACACAATAAGGAGCGCCGTATGGCTCGTTGGGCGGAGCACTTTCAAGATCAGTTCAGCTGTCCCCCTTCTCCCGGACCTCTTCCTACTTAGGTGATGCAGAACGAGGCATCGACGGTTACTTTAGAGCCTTTGTCGGTGGCAGAGGTCCGAAACGCGATCAAAGCCCTCAATCGTTTTCGTGCTGCTGCCCCGGATTCCCTGTCACCTGCACTATTTAAGGATGGAGGTGAGGTCCTCTGCAAAGCACTGACCTCCCTATTCGCACGTATCTGGAAGAAAGATAGTGTCCGGGCTGATTGGAGCGAACCGATTACAGTGACAGTGTACCAGTAGACTAGTCGCACCAACAGTTCTAACCACAGGGGTATTATCCTAATGCCGTTGGTACCAAAATTACTGGCCTGTATTCTCGTTCGTCGCTTCACTGTGGGACGGGAATCTTGGATTGGGGAAGAGCAACCAGATTTCCACCCAGGACGTGGCTGTATAGACCATATATTCACTTTGCGGCAACTTCTAGAGCGGCGCCAAGCATACCGCAGACCGACAATAGCTGTTTTCCTCGATTTCAAGAGTGCGTTCGATTCCGTTTATCGATCGATTCTGTTCGAAATACTTGCGCGGAAAGGTGTTCTCACGAAATATGTGAACATCCTTCGTGCTCTGTACTCGAACACTACAGGCCGCGTCAGGGTCTACGATGACCAGTCTTATAGCCCTCCGACCATAAGATGCGTTTGTCAGGATTGTCCGATTTCACCGTTTTGTTCACTTTCGTCGTGAACTGTATCATGGAGTGTTCACTTACGGAAGTTCTGGATGTAGGCGTTGTGGTCCTGCTTGGTGAAAGGTTAATTGATCTCCATTCTGCGGACGATATCGTCTTGCTTTTTGACGATGTTGGGACCGCCCGAGCAACCCTGAATAGTCTCTCCAGGGTGGTCCTATTATTTGGTATATGCTTCCCATCTTCAAAGTGCAAACTGTTGCTGCAGATTCGGCAGCCACTTGTGGACCCCTTGACCCTTGGTAACGAGGAACTCGAGGTGGTTGATCAAATCATTTACTTTGGTAGCTGCATCAGCAATGATGGGCGAATCGAAACTGAAGTCAGTTCACACATTGCAAAAGCCAGAACTGCCTACTTGAACCTGCGGTATCTTTGGCGACAGAAGGGAGTTTCCCTCCCTCTGAAATCTCGTGTATACAAGGCCACAGTAAGGGCCGTTCTGCTCTATGGTAGTAATACTTGGCACCTTCGGTCTGATGATCTGAGGCGCCCTTAAGTCTTTGCTCATCATTGTCTGCGAAGCATTGCTGGAGTCGGACGGCACCAGCGTGTCCGCAACGATGATGTTCGTAGGCGAGTACTAGGTGGTAATAATCATGCTAACACCCAAGTTGCGTTGGCTTAGACACGTGCTACGTATTCCTTGTCACCGCTTACCTAGGAGGACCTTGTTTAGTCTGCCAGGTGTAGGGTGGCGCAAGGTTCGAGGTGGACAGCAGTTAACTTGGCAGCGGGCAATGAAGTCACTGACGACCAAACTGGGTGTTTTTGGTCCGCCTCGGCTTCTGGGCTGAAGTCCGCGTGACTCACCTTGTGCTTGGCTTGAGACTTAACAGGACGTGGCTCGCACCCGACACCAGTGGCGCGTCTGCCACCGTCACATAATCGGACGCATGTTCTGCTGAGTTATCTGTGGGGTAGTGGCTGAATATGACGCGTGGCAGTGAAAGCCGCTAGGAAGCTGTCTCGCTGATGCCGCCTTATCTTTGCACGATAGGCAGCTGTTTGAGACGGTAGGTTATTAACACAAGGTATTGGCGCCTTGACCTTGAATGTTTGATTAGGGGATTAAGGTTTTCAGGTAAACCCCTTTTATCTCCCACTTATTATTCTTTATTCTTTAGGTCCTCACAGTTGAGCGGCAGCGAAGCGTCTGTCCAAATGGCTGATGTACTACTGTTGTTGACGGATGTTTTTTTTCAAAATCATTCCACAATGTTACTCACAGTCTCGATATGGTGCACTATACATGAACAAGAATAATAATAAAATAATAAAAATAATGTGTCAGCTGAACGCCGTAACGGCGCTTCGCTGCCGCGCGACCACCATCAGTCGCGCGCGGGCTGAGTATACCGCGAGGACGCCCACCCCTATGCGTATTCGAACCGGTGACCTTATGGTTGCAAAGCAAACGTGCAGACCACTCGGCCACCGGTCAACACATGAACAAGACAATATCCTCCGGCTGTTTCCCCATAATTTATATATCTATTGCTAGACACTAACTGATGGAAAACCTTCCAATTCTACCTTCACCCTTCTGAAATTCTTTATATATTTTCTCACTATCGATTAAGCTGCTGATGTGTAACCTAAAGGATAGGGCTCCTGCTTTCTAATTCA